ACGAAGTGATTGAATCCCTCCAGCGCCGCCTTGATGAAATGGAGGCCCGCCAGGCGCACACTACAGCTTCCGCCTCACAGGCGGACCCCAAATACACCGCCATGCTAGCAAAGATGGAGGAGATGCAAAGGAAATTTGTCGAAGGCTCCGGGGAACCTGTCATCCAACTCCGAACTCGGACGCCATTTACCCCAAGGGTATTGGCAGCCCAAATTCCAGGGAAGTACTGAGGGTAACCCATCAAGCCCTATGAAGGAAAAACTGACCCCAGGAGCACTACAGCACGTATCAAAACAGCATGATGATGATGGGGGCATCGGATGAATATTTATGTCGTTGGTTCCTTTCCACCTTGGAGGGACCAGCATGCGAATGGTTCAACTGATTGCCCGAGGGCAGCATTAACTCTTGGCAAGATCTTTCCCAACGCTTCCTCACCCATTTCACCGGAAGGAAGCGCGCGAGAAAGCACTTCTCCCACCTCCTCTCCGTCAAGCAACAGCCTGACGAAACACTTCTCCCCATTGTGGAACAAAAGGCGTCACCCCTTGGCGGCTGCTCCTGAAGGCATGCATCACTCTACTCCTATTTCCCTCGATTAGCTCTCAGCAAAAGGAGTGGGGGACTGGGGGACTCCCCTCGGCAAAACACGTAAATGTTAAAAAAATTCTATTTCTCAGCTACAACAAGCTGAGGAAAGATCACAACGACAATCTACTCCCTTCAGCAAAAATAATCAAACTTGAAAATTCTTATTCTTCAGTTGCAGAAAGAGAGCCATCGGCAACTTCAAGACACTACTCTTATTTCCCTCGAGAAACTCTCGGTAAAAGGAGTGGGGGACTCCTGATGGAGTATATGGTCTGGGACACCCCAGCCCACATACTTCCACTACTACATTCAGGCCCAACAGGCCCAAATGGGCCAAGCCCAGCAAAATGGAGCTCTAAGCATCCCACAATACGCAAAGGGCGGCCTTCGGCCCCATGGCCGAAGGCTACCGGTGATGGAATCAAGCTCAGAGACATCACAGGAGAACAAGGCTCAAAACCAAGCCTTCGGCACATACAGCCTTCAGTCACATAATGCCTTCGGCCACGCAATGCCTTCGGCCACGCAATGCCTTCGGCCACATAATGCCTTCGGCCACACAATGTCTTCGGCCACAGAACTATCGACGAAGATTCCTTTTAGAGACAGCCAACCACCGCATTTAATGCGACGTCACATCCACCTACCGCATTTAATGCGGTGCACATGCGAGTGCCGGTACCACCCCGATTGAGATGACCCCTCGGCCACCAGATTGTTGACGTGTATCCCTATCTAGTATTTATTGTTGCTATAAATAGCAGCTCATTTCCCCATTGTAAAGGACAACAAGTTCACATATCGAATATACACTCTCTCTCTTACTTATTTGCTCTGACTTCTTTCTAGTTATTCTCCACAATAACCCTTCTGATAAGTTATCCCCGGGTACACTATCCATCACTAGTCATGTTGTGTTCCGGACCCGATGCAGCCCATGCTCTGGTATAACGACATTTGTATCGTTATACCATTTGTACACGATCACTTGTACACGATCACTTGTGTGGTTCACAAAAGTCCAACTAACACATACATTAAATTAATTGCCGCATTTTTAACAATTGCTTTTGTGAATCACACAACTTGGGTACAAATGGGTACCCTATTTCAGGGTACCTATAAAAATTTTTAAGAGACAATGCTCAGGACGTTGATTGTAATTAGTTCGAATTTACTTGCCTAAAAGTAACACATGCACTATGAAAAAAATGTACAGAGTCTGCGGGTCTACAAAATGCAGTTCTAGATTTGGGTAAGTTCCCTCGCCAACCGACCCACATAGGTATAACTTTGATAGGACACTCAATGTACAGATTCAAGTAATTTCATAGTTGTGCCTTTCTGGTCGGTTATCTTTTTCCTGACACACAATAATTTGCTTGCCTACGCCACAACAACCACTTCTAAATGTAAGGAGGGAAATATATTACGTAGTACTCACCAATTATAGAAAACAAAGAATGATGGAGATAGGAGTGGGGGATGATATGGGTTCCCATTCTAAACAAGAATTAATAAAACTAGAAAACAGAAAAGGACAAAACTAAATAGAATCTTCATGGAAATTTGCTTTTTCTTTTCTACTAGTGGCTGCAAATTCCCATTACCATGAATGGTGGGGCATCCAATCTTTTTTTATTTTTCTGCTACTTTCACCCGATTTCATTTTCTCCAAATCTTTTCCCCTACTAGCATCCTTCTGTCATGCTACATTATTTAATATTTTAATCTATACTCTAGCAAATAAAATTACAGTTCAGTTTTATTCTATTACATTAAAACAACTATTTTATCACACTTCTAACTTTTGTTTTTTGGAAACACGTATAAACATGATTGGCTTTTATTATTAATCATTTTCTTTAAAGTCACTTTAAAATCATTTTATATAAATAGGCAATTGGAAACACTCCCAAATATAATATTTTTTAGGAGATTCTCTAAATATAAGTAAAATAAAACATAATTTCTTCAAGAGGAGTTTCATGTTCTCTTCCCTATAAATGAGTCATGCACTCATATTAAAATGTACTCTCTCTTACATTTTGGTGGCATCAATATTTTGTCAAGAAATATATAATCCATACTATTTCGTTTTATTCTACTAAAACTTCAACCACAACTTTTATTTTTCCACCATTTTAAATATTCTTTTACTTTAAATACTAATACATACTAGTGTCAAACTGAAAGAAGACATCCAGGAGAGCAGCACTATTTTTATTATGAATGCCAGCAATAAATCGAAATAAGAAGCTTCTTGTGAATGCCCGCAGTTATACACAATCATTTGGAAACTATTCAAAATAAAATCTAATGGACATAAAAGAACAAGAGTGCCAAACCACCACTAATTTTAAAATGATGAAGATAGATTCATCATTCATTATTATTACTATTATTATTATGTCTTCGTTGGTTTACTAACTTACATCCACTCCATTATATATTTACTTTCTGACTTGTATGTACCGCCCGCCACTTTCTTTCTTTCTTTCTTTGTGATCTTATCTTTCCATTTTATCTCTTTGTTTCCTTCCCCTATGCTATGCTATATTATCTCTGCTTTTCTTTCTGGGATTACCTTCCCCCTCCCCTCCCCTTTTTTTGCGCTTCAACTCTGTCATCTCACAACTGAAGCTGCAACCCTGAATTGAAGCTACACTCTATCACAGTATGTCCTGCTTTCCTATTCTCTTACCCTTAGCTTTATGGCCTCTTCTCATCTTCTTGCAGCTTAATTAATTACCTTAGCTTGGGTTTGTTTTGTGTGTCTTTGGATCGGCTCCTGGCCTCTACGGATTGTGATGTTTTTTTTGTTGAGTTTTTGTCTTTCTGGGTTTTAGTTGTTTTTGTTCATGTGGGTTCTACGGTTTTTAGTGGGGCTTTTAGGATATCCGTGTTTAGCCTATCTAGCTTCTTGTTGGTTAGTTTTTTTAACTTGCCTGGCCTCTTTGGTTGGGTATTTATAGACCATGTTGCACGAAAACGTGAAAATCACGAGGAAATGAGAAATGGAAACGTGAAAATCACGAGGAAATGAGAAATGGAAACGTAGTCTTTCCTTTCATGAGAGTTTTTGTGTTCATATAAATGGAGTAGTTTATAAAGTCAAATAATTACAAATGAGTGAATGAATCTTGTTCGAAGATCTTTTCTGATATAATTAAGTCTCCATAATTCCAATCTTTTTAAAATAAGTGGTGGCTTGGATGGTTATTTCGGGGTGATGGAAAATCAGATTATTTTCAAGTAATAGTTGAGGATGATGATAATAAATACTACGTACTCGGGATGAATAAACAAACAAATAAATGAATGAATGAATAAATAAATTCATAAATTAATAAGTAAATAAATAAATAAATAAATGGATCATTTGGGGCAGATTTGAGGAAAGGTTGTGTAGCTCGCTCGATCAATTCGGGTTGGGGGCTTTATTCTGTACACACAAATGTTGCCTCTGCTCATTTAGTTGTTTATTATTTATTCCCTTATTGGACTTTTGATAACTTTTTTGTTATTCCAAAACATTTATCATTTTCTCATAATTGTTCTAATACATAGTTCTGCTCATTTTTCTACCAACAAATCAAAGTCCACTTTTGAACTAGAAAATCCTGTTTAAAGAAAATGTAGGACTCATTTGGAAGGATACAAAATGTCAGGTCAGTGGAGGACCTAGGGAGCTGCCTGGGGTAAGTGCCCCACTTTCGACCAGTAATTTCACTATTAGTATTTAGAGTAAAATAAGTATCCCGTTTCCGGTCAAGAATTTCACTACTAGTGTGCTCCTAGTCTGACAAATCTCTGGGTCCACTGGTCACGGTTCAAAATCATTTACAAGGACTCATTTGTAATTGATTGGAATGGGGGAATTGCTACGGAAAGAAAGTAGTAAGGAAAATATATGATAATTTAGGGAAGGAAGACAATAGATCATCGTTTTAGACGTTAGGCTAAAAAATTACTTGTATTTGTTCGAATTATTTCTTATTCATTTTCTATCAAATAAATACGATAGCAATCTACAAAAATATCTTAAAAATATCTTAGATAAATCCAAACAAAGAAAAGAATTTCTCAATGGTAGTTCCTACTTTCTAGTACCGTTGACGATCAAGCACGTTGAGAAAATATATAAAGCACGCCAACATGCTTACTATGGAGCACGTTGACGATCAAGATTTTCTAAAGACTAGAAAAATGAATTCTGATCATTATTTGTAAGTTCTGTTTTATAAGTTCAATTGTACTTCTAACCATACAACTGATACAAGGATGGAAACCTGATGATATTTACCTCAATGTTATTGCTTCTATATATATATCTGTTTGAAACAGTTAACTGAGCGAAATAGAATGAGGGAATTAATGAGTTTGTTCTATCTACTTCATTCATTCAGGTCCTAGAATCAGCAGTGTGGATTGATTGATATCGCTAGTTTGCCTTGGTATGAATCGCCCGAATCTGAATCTTCATTGCGAAGATGATCTTGATTCAGAGGTCAGCAGCAGTCAAGTTGCCTCAAACATATCCAACGACAGCAACATGACCAACTCCTCATCCTGCTTCACCAGTCAACTCGCCCTAGACTTGACCCTCGGCTCCAACAATGCCACCAGCTACGGCGGCGAGTCGCTGAAGAGCAGCGGCGCCGGCGGTGAAGTAGTTGTCCCGCATCCACAAACCGGGCAGCTCTCGCGGGTCTTCTCCTGTCACTTCTGCAGGCGCAAGTTTTACAGCTCGCAGGCTCTGGGAGGCCACCAAAACGCCCACAAGAGGGAAAGGACTCTGGCCAAGAAGGCCATGCGAATGGGGATGCTCTCCGACCGATACGCCGCAGCCTTGGCAATTCAGGGCCCTGCTTTTCGGGCCCTGGGGGTCGAGGCCCATGGCTCGGTGCTCCACCCGAGCTGCTTGCCCCGCCACCAGCAGCCCGGGAGCAGCCCCTTCCACGGCGGAGTCAGAGTTGGTGGGGCCCGGTTTGATCAGCAGGCCTATTTTGGCGTCCCTCTATTAGTTGAGGATGAAGACGTGGAGATGTTCTGGCCTGGAAGCTTCCGGAGAGTCGACCCCGCCGCCGGCCATACCTCTAACGTGAGCTTCGTCACACGCAATCCTAGCACAACCCCGGACCTAAATTTGAAATTATGATCTGATCCGTGTCTTTTTCTTTTTTACCGGCTGTCGGTTTTTACCCCATCCATTACATCATTTCCCCTTTTTCCCCATCGATCGAGATGGATTGATTATATTCACGATGTTAGTTGTTTGCCTATACTGATGTACAATATCCTTTCTCATGGAATTCAATATAACAAACAAGGTGATAATTTGTCCTTAAATTTTGACCTACCTATTATCTATGTTTCAAAAATTGGATCCGGAAGCGACGTGGTTACAAGATTGGTTAATTTGGATCTAGTGAGTAAACCTGGTGAACTAATTATAATACTAATTAAGCATTTAAAACACTCATAATATTCTGAAATGTAATTTGATCCTATTAAAATACTATGGTAAATAATAAGATTTGTTATTTGTATTGTATGTGTATAATATGTATAACTTGGTATGATTTTCATTCTTAAAAATATATATAAATATATTAAATTTTATTTCTTTTTAGGGTATTAAAATTTTATTGTTTTTTTAAAAGGTGATTTTTTTATTTAAAAATTCCTAAAAACTAAAATGTTTTTTTTTTTTTTGGAAAAACAAAAAACAGGTTTTTTTGGCTTTGTCTGGTTTGTTTATCCGGGTCCGGACCGGGATTTCTCGGGTCACTTGATTTTTCAGTTTTTAGCTACTTTCAAGTTTTAACTAACTCAATCGGATTGTGGTTCGGATTGTTGAGTTCGGGGTCAAATCGCCCGGTCTAGGTTGGTCGAGGATGACGACGTTGAGATGTTCTGGCCTGGAAGCTAGCTTCCGGAGAGTCGACGGCGGCAACGCCTCCGTGAGCCATACCTCTAACGTAAGCTTCGTCACACACAATCCTAGCACAACCCCGGACCTAAATTTGAAACTATGATCCGATCCATGTCATTCTCTTTTTTACCTTATATCGGTTTTTACCCCATCCATTACATCATTTACCCTTTTTCCCGATCGATCGAGATGGATTGATTATATTCACGATGTTCGTTGTTTTCCTATACTCATGTACAATATCTTTTCCCATGGAATTCAATATAACAAACAAGGCGATAATTTGTGCTTAAATTTCGACCTACCCATTATCTATGTTTTAAAACCCTATCTATGTTACAAGATTGGGTTATTGGTTAATTTGGATCTGCTGGGTAAACCTGGTAATTTGATCCTATTAGAATACTATGGTGTATAATAACATTTGTTATTTGTATTGTATGTTTACAGTATGTATAACTTGGAATGATTTTCATTCTTATATATATATATATATATATATATATATATATATATATATATATATATATATACACACACATACACATATATATATATAGAGAAAAGATCAGGTGAGAAGTCATCCTTAATATGAGAAGTGAGAAGTAATCTCAGCCCTTGGATTTGCATCTAATCTTACAACCCAGCAAACTTATAGACTGGATATAGTAACTTATAACCAATAAATCATAACTTATAAAGTTCTCCATCTTAATTACGGAAATGCCACCGCGTCAAAAAAAATCCAGGTATCTGGAGTTATTTTGACGCGGTGACATTTTTCGTAATTATTTTGAGGGGGTCTATAAGTTGTGATTTATTGGTTAAAAGTTTGTACTTTTAGTTTAAAAGTTAGACTTCGCAACTTCTCAGCCTAAGGGCACTTCTCACCTGATCCGCTCCTTATATATATATATATATATATATATATATATATATATATATATATATATATATATATATATATATATATATATATATATATACATACATATAGAGAAAAGATCAGGTGAGAAGTCCCCCTTAAGATGAGAAGTGAGAAGTAATCTCAGCCCTTGGATTTGCATCTAATCTTACAACGCAGCAAACTTATAGACTGAATATAGTAACTTATAACCAATAAATCCTAACTAATAAAGCTCTCCATCTTAATTACGGAAATGCCACCGCGTCAAAAAAAATTCCAGGTTTCTGGAGTTATTTGGAGGGGGTCTATAAGTTATGATTTATTGGTTAAAAGTTTGTACTTTTAGCTTATAAGTTAGACTTCACGGCTTCTCAACCTAAGGGCACTTCTCACCTGATCCGCTCCCTATATATATACATACATATATATATACACACACACACATATATATACATACATACATAGAGGGGATGGTTCAAATACAAAGAGGTCTTCCTATGCAAAGCGAGAATTAATCTCGTGCATTCATTTTCAGATCTAATGGCTCAAAATGAGCCAATAGTGAACTAAATTTGATCAAAAACGCGGTGGCAATTTCGTAATTAAAACGAAGTTTTTTGCTATCGTGAAAAGGTGCAACAGAAACATGCAAAAGTGCAACGCGGTGAAGAAAAAGTGCAACCGTTCGCACTTTGCATGGGAGAACCTCTTTTTATTTGATCTCTTCCCTATACATACATATATATATATATATATATATATATATATATATATATATATATATATGTGTGTGTGTGTGTGTGTGTGTGTGTGTGTGTGTGTAACATTGTTCTCATTAGAACCGCACCTTATACACACACACACACACACACACACACACACACACACACATATATATATATATATATATATATATATGTTTCGGTTCAAATAAGAACATGATCTTATGAGAAAAATGAGAATGAATCTGGACCGTTAGATTTGCTTTATGTGAAATTCAATGTGCATTAGATGAAGTTGTCATGTGTAATAAGTGAAATTGAAATGTGCAACACAAAGGGTACGATGTTGTGGCATTATGTGAAGCTAAATTGTGCATTAGGTGAATTTGAAATGTGCATTAGATTAAACTAAAGTGTGCAGAACAAAAGGTACGATGTGATGTTATTTTTGTACGCTTTATTCTGCACATTTCAGTTTCACCTAATGCACATGTGAGTTTAAATTTTTATTCTGCACATTTAATTATCGTCTATTGCACATTGCGGTTTCACCAAATGCACAATTTAGTTCCACATATTTCAATCCAACGGTCCTGATTCGTTCTCATTTTTCTCCTATGATCCGTTCTTACCGGAACCGCTCCCTATATATATATATATATATATATATATATATATATATATATATATATATATATATATATATATATATATATATATATATATATATATATATATATATATATATATATATATATATATATATATATATATATATATATATATATATATATATATATATATATATATATATATATATAAGGGAGAGTTCCTGTGAGAATGGAGTCTCAGGAGAGAAGTGAGAATACTTCTCACACGTTAATTTTGAGTATCTAACGGCACCAAGTTAACTGGTCCACAGATTATACTATGCACTCGATTGCATTATAATATGTTCCTACAAAATTGAGTGCACGTGTAACAATTAAGGAGGGCATAATTGTAAGTCTAAACTTATGCTTGCGGCATCACAATAGGTAAGAATCCTAGGAATTAATAAGGAGTAACGTACTCTCTTATTCTAACAAATACTTCCTTTTATTTAATTTTATTTTCCAAATTTAGTATTCTCTCACATATGATTATTAGGACAACTAATTTATTTATAAATCTTTATTCGAATAATTGCATTTTTTTGTGTAATCGACTTTTCAAATAAATGTTTCATTCATCTAGTTTTGTCTGTTTTCACATCAATGTTAAATAATTACACTTTTATTTGAAATATAATGCAATATCAGTTTAATTAAATATTTGAATACTTTTTCACTAATCTCAAGAGAAATGAGGTTTTTATGGAGTTAATTTGTGTGTAACGAACTGCACTTTTATTTTATTAATTTAGACTTTTTATAATATTAACCTACACTTTACACATGAAGTTGTTCACATCCATACATATTTTAAATACAAATTAAAATTGAATGTAAATATACAAGGGTGTAAATTATCAACTATCACGTGCATTTTATTTATATAGTAAAGTGCACCATTTTATTAAGTTTCCTGAAGTTTTACATCGACACTCTTTTACAAAATAATATGCACTTTATTGTGTGCATTTCAAATATATACAAAAGTGCATTATCATATATGTCACTTTCTAAAATTTTACATTAGCACTTTTTACAAAATGAAATACACTTTTCTTACAAAAGCATCGTATTTGTTCAATTATGACGGCGTCTTCTGATGTCACCTGTATCCGCAAACAAAAGTAAATTAAAAAAACTAATGAAAAGTGCATGAGTAAAGTATGATAAGTGCATCATAAGTGTAACATAAAATATATCACTATTATCCTAAACCTAGGTAGATAGCTATGATGCAAGTGTTCCATATTAAACACGTAAATGCATAACATGACAATGTAGGTGCACTAATTATTAGTGCAAATTTAGAAATCTAAATATTATATGAGTGCAAATCCACAAATCTATAAATTGTGCAACAAATACGCCCGAAAGTGCAAGAACAAACATTTAGTATTGCATCCAATTGAACATCCAATATTTATATGAAAGCATGGAATACAAATGTGTGATTGCAATATTAAAATTTGCCTTCGCTGCAGATTAAATAACATCATAGTGCATCAAATAATACATGCTAGTGCACTATTGACACAACATCGCACCTGCAAAAAAGGAAAAAGATTAAAACAAACAAAAGTGAAAACCCAAGTATGATAAGTGCAGGAATAGTTAATTAGAATTAATTAATTATTAAGATAACTAAAAAGATGGATTCAGTGTATGATCAATCAATTCAACATATGTATACTAAAGTATACTCTCAATATAGTAAAAATCAACATATCCAACACTTCTCATAAGTCTTTCATAGTAGATAAGGGTGCTGAAGAGACAAAAACAGAGCCTCCTCTATCATCTAGTTTGGGAAGCTTTGATTCTGGGGAGGGAATCTCAGAGGTTGATATATATGCTTCCTGCGCAGGGTGGAGCGGGTAGGAGGAGACGTAGAGGAGAGGTAGGAGGAGATGGAGACGGTTAAGGAAATTGAGAAAGAAAATAAGGGAAGAATTAATTTTTAGATCCCAAACAATCGTGTACAGTTCTAATTTGGAAGAAGAATATGAGAGAATGACCTACTTACCCTTACACGTATGATCAAATTAGAAGGAACACTCTTTGAATCCAATGGTCTTGATTAGTTCTTATTTCTTTCCTAAGATTGTTTTCTCATTTGAACCTAAATCTATATATATATAT